TTAGGAATCTGTGGGATGTGCTGAAACAAGAAATCTGATCCATGGAGGCCCCAATTTGCAAATTGCAGTGTGTATATTCTCAAATAGTGCATGCTCTGAGTCTTGCTTCCCAATTGTTTCTTTTTCCTGATTTTTTACTGGGCATATTTGGTCAAATATCCAGAATTTTAAATGTAATTATGTTTACATTTCACTTACCAGCCACCTATCAGTATATTAAGACTGGTGGCTCAGCTCATTCTTGGGCTGGATTGTCACTAAATGCTACCATGCTTGAGCCTCAGTTGTTCCAAGGTAATGGCTGACTGTGAGTGATTGCCATCTGCTGGATGGATACACATTTGCACCCAATAAGATTTAGAATTCCAGGATCTGTTAATTTTGTATTATTTATTTATAAAATATTTTACCAGTAAAGATACATTGAGATTTCTCTTGTTTTCAAGTATGTCCTGGGTCCACAAATCACTGCATTGTTACAATTAGTGTACAATAAAATACAAAAACAATATTAATACACAAAATATACAAAATTTAACAGAGAACAGACAGGAAACATTTAATCAACCATAACAGGTGCATTCTGTTTTGAGGTATGTAGAGAGGGATCTCTGAAAGGACTTTAGGCTTAGGGATGATTTTAAATTGTGCGGGAGGTCATTCCACAATTGCGGTGCTCTGTAGGAGAAGGGGGATCGGGCTGCTTTCTTTTTGTATTGAGGTAGACTAAGTAAAGTGTTGGTACTGGATCGGAAGTTATAGGAAGTGGGAACAGCTGAGGAAAGCATTGTGTTCAGGTAGGGTGAGAGTTTCACAGAAAAGCTCTTAAACACAAGGCTGGAAAGATGAAGGGTGCGTCTGGATTCCAGCGACAGCCAGTTTAGTTCTTTTAGCATGTCACAATGGTGGGTCCTGTAATTACAATGTAGCACAAATCGGCAGAACGAGTTATACAATGTGTTGAGTTTATTAATTGGTAGCTGTTTATGTTTATAATGGCGATTCTTCTTTTTCACTTTATAAATCCTACTCAAATGCTTTTTAAATATCCTAGTACAATATGCTTTAATTCATTCAAAGTTACTTCCCCCATACAAATGCCAATAAAGAGTAAATTGAAATCTTAAAATAGAATGCAACTTAACAAAAATCCCTTGTAATCTTATGGGCTACCACCCGACAGAGGGGTTAAAGACCTCATATCCATAAATAAAGCAAATAAAGTGTGGTCCTAATATGATTAAAATATAACTTCTATTAAAAGATTAAATAAAACATGCAATAATTGAAGTGGGGTAAGTATATGAACGAGTATTCAATTTGTATTTAGTATTCACAGTTGTTTGGAACAAGAGAATGTATGCCACTAGTATCTAGTTGGTTAGCTAATTATATGAGTACATTAATCATTTTCTACCAACAGGGATCGCCACTACAATAAGGTTCTCCCCTAGGTTCATTGACCTGAATTCTGGACAATTAGAATCATGAGAATGGAAGGGTAGCAATGATGTATCGAACATCATTACATGAAGTGGTGTTGGTGTCTAGAGTGGTTCTTTAACCCCTTAAGGACACATGACATGTATGACATGTCATGATTCCCTTTTATTCCAGAAATTTGGTCCTTAAGGGGTTAAAAGTAAGCATATCCTTGCTATAAGGCCACTGAAATTAACACCCTGATCAAGATGCAAAATTCACATAAGTATGCAATAAACCTGCCTCGTGAGTTTGTGATTACTAGATGGACCAAAGCACTTATGGTTGGAAGGATGATATAATTACACCAAAATCCTATATCTGCTCTAGGGAGTTGTAAGATACTGCAAGTTCATTAAATTAATCATGTTACAGGTGTTAGATCTTCATAAAAATAAACAGAAATTTAAAATCATAATGTATGCACCAAAAAGCTATTAGAAATCACTCATAAACATGCATTTAAATCAAATTAAACACATATGGAGTTTATTCACTAAACAGTAACCTAAAAAAAGGTAGACAATGGTAGCCAAATAATACATGTAATTCATTATTGATACAGGATGATATAAAGCAAAATTGTCAGCATTAAGAGGCAGTATTTGCATGCAAGAATTACACATGCAAATTCACTTTCCCCATTAGAATTCACTGTGATACTGTTTCACTGTACTTGCTAAAACCCTATGAATATTTCTTGATAGCGTCCTAGATACTACATAACAACTAGTGTTTACCTGTAAAAATACAGATCTCACTTATAAAAACTCCTTAAGGAAGCTTGTCTTACCCTTAAAGGACCACTATAGTGCCAGGAAAACATACTCGTTTTCCTGGCACTATAGTGCCCTGAGGGTGCCCCCACCCTCAGGGACCCCGTCCCGCCCGGCTCTGGAAGGGGGAAAGGGGTTTAAACTTACCTTTTTCCAGCGCTGGGCGGAGAGCTCTCCTCCTCCTCTCCGCCTCCGTTACGCCCCGCCGGCTGAATGCGCACGCATTCAGCCGGTCTCATAGGAAAGCATTTACAATGCTTTCCTATGGACGCTGGCGTGCTCTCACTGTGAAAATCACAGTGAGAAGCACGCAAGCGCCTCTAGTGGCTGTCAATGAGACAGCCACTAGAGGATTAGGGGAAGGCTTAACCCATTCATAATTATAGCAGTTTCTCTGAAACTGCTATAATTATGAAAAAATGGGTTAACCCTAGAAGGACCTGGCACCCAGACCACTTCATTAAGCTGAAGTGGTCTGGGTGCCTAGAGTGGTCATTTAAGGACACAAGCCATTTTTGCATTTCTTGCTGTTTGTGTTCAAACACAATTTGCATCTCTCTCATTTATTGCACCAACTCATATTATATACAATTTTTTAGATGGCAAACAGGGATTTATTTTATGTCACATATACACAGATAAATTCTCATTAATTATTTTAAAAAATGCCAAAAAATGAAAAACAAAACAATAAAAATATTTTTTTTTCACAATTTTGGCAATAACAACATATGCATAATATGTCCAGTTTAGAAAAAGTAATTCAAAATAAATTCATTTATGTGTCTTGATTTATAGAGTACATCATATGTATAGGAGCTTATTTTGAAAACAGGTCACAAAATACAAGGACTAAAATACAATTTCAATTTGCTAAAATTTTAGAAGTTGATATGTTTGTCTTGTACATTTAGTAGCTATCACAGAAAAAAAAAATTGCCACGCAAAAGTATATATTTATATAAAGTAGACATCAAAGGCTATTTACCCAAGGTTAGTTTTACACTTTTTACATAGCCATTGCATCGCCAATCTCTGCTAAATATTGGAGTAAGACTGTGTTTTTTCTTTATTTTGGCATATATACGTATAACAAGGCTTTTGTAATGTGTATTTCATAAAGCTGGTGTGTGCTATTCCTGCACAGAACCACATATTGCGTTCAGCTACATCTGTTGAGTTTAACGATACCCCCATTGTATGCCTTTGGCACTATTCTATTAAGCCACAATGCCATATAAGAGACAAGGCTATTTCAATTTCTATAGTTAGAATTTTCGTAGAGGGATTTGACGGGCCTATGTCTCATTTTAGGGTATTATAGCAGTGTGGCTGTTCAAATAACCCCACAAAGGGCTTTCATTTGATAAAGCAGACACCCCAGGGTATCTTAAATGGTGTATATTGTGCCTTAACTTGTCACCATTTTTTCACCAATTTATGTCAATGTTTATGGTGAGGGGAAGAAAAATCTAATTTTTACAGATATGTTGCATTTTTGCTGAGTATTTCTTACACTTGATATGTACCACTGTCATAAAACCCCCCACATGATGCTAAGTTACATCTTCTGAGCAAAACAATATTCCCAATGCAGGGCTCGAGTCCTGCAGGAACGCATGGGAACGGCGTTCCTGCACTTTTTCCATAGCAGGAACGCCGTTCCCGTTACCTGTCCTGCAGGACCGGCCCTGGTCCCTGCACTGAGGGGCCAGCACACGCTGTGTTCCTTCTCCAGCTATAACTCTCGCGAGACCCGCGGCTGTTACCATGGCAACGCTCCGCACAGGCGAGTCTCGCGAGAGTTAGAGCTGGAGAGGGAACACAGCGTGTGATGGCCCCTCTGTGCAGCGGCTGGCTCCCTCCACCGGACCACCAGGCGATCTCCCCCCTCCCTGACAAGGTAAGAAGCAGGGAGGGGGGAATAAAATAAAAATATATACATAAAGTAAGAAAAAAATGCTTCCCTCTCCCCCCCCACACATCATCCAGCACTCACACACCCATCATCCAGCACTCACTCACACACATCATCCAGCACTCACTCACACACATCATCCAGCACTCACACACAAACACACACACACACATCATCCAGCACACACACACACACATCATCCAGCACACACACACACATCATCCAGCACTCACACACACACCCATCATCCAGCACTCACACACCCATCATCCAGCACCTCACACACCCATCATCCAGCACTCCCACACACCCATCATCCAGCACCCACACACCCATCATCCAGCACCCACACACACACACACACACACACACACACACCATCCAGCACACACACACACACCCATCATCCAGCACTCACACACCCATCATACAGCACTCACACACACATCATCCAGCACACACACACATCATCCAGCACACACACACACATCCATCATCCAGCACACACACACACATCCATCATCCAGCACTCACACACACATCATCCAGCACTC